GAGAGCCAGCTGACAACATTGATTGTCCTCTATTTGTTTTTCTTCTCTAGTCACGTTTGATCTCGCGAGTGTCTGTGAGATCACGTGTCACTGTGAAATCGTTCCTACAATCAACAAGTCAAGTGTGTGGTCTCGTGGTCTGGTCGAATCATCTAGTGTGTGCGTTCAGAGGATTATAAGGCTAAAAATCGGTTGAACTGTCTTCATGGTTGTGGTCTCCCATGGTTTTAAAATCGTTTAAGATTTGAAAATCGTCTAGTGTGCGGCCAGCCTTATAGTCAGTAGAATGTCTGTTGGGAGACCATGACAATAAATAGTTAGCAGATATTAAGCAAACAGTCTACGTACTAAAACTCTGATGAGAGTTAGTAGACATGTAGGTGCAACATTATTTATTGTCAACAGAATGTTCAAAAGGGACCATCAAAATAAAGTGTTACCAGAAACTTTTTTTTTGGAAAAAAATAAATCATAAAAATAATTTTTGTTTAAAAATCAAATGTATGTATAATGTATGAGGTATATTCCCTCATTATTATTAGATAATACTTGTTCAAAACAATCACTTCAGCAAAATTTTACCACATTCTGTTTGCTTTTTAACATATTCGGTTTGTTTTGATAATACATTTTTATTCAATAGTCATTAAAATGTTCATTTAAAAAAAAAATTTACCCTGGATTAACATGTTAATCATTCAGGATGTACCGGTTCATTCAAAGTACCACCTGACCATCTTGATACTGACGCTGTGAAGGCAGAAAGTCAGTTGATGTGTTGTATTGTTAATTCATTTGTTCACATCTCTGTGCAGATCAGAGCTCATCGCCTGTGGCTCCAGCAGAGAATTCGGGCTCCTGCCCGGCCGTGTGCTCTGTGAGACGGAGGTGTGCCCGCCCCTGCTCTGCCACAGTCCAATCAGAACGCAGGATTCCTGCTGCCCTCACTGTCCAGGTGCGCTGTCAATGAAAACCTTTGTGTTTGAAAAGGAGAGACAGGCCTGCTCTAACTTACCAAAACGTTAGTTCTGAAGCTTGTTGCGAAAACTTGGAGGTAATGGAGAAGTCAAAGTAGCTGTGATATTTGGATCTTGTACGAGCACAGTCAAGGGAGGCGCAAAAGCATAATTTTTTTAAAAGATGTATTATTGTAAGGACTTTTAGAGCGTAGAGGCGTGAGACACCTTTGACGGGAGAAAAGTTAACAAAATGTGAATATGCATAATGCATGTGTTTGGTGGAAATGATGAATACTGCATGGGCGCAGGAGTACATGATCAACAGTCTGAGCCGAAAGGATGAGAGAATCAGAGAATGTTTCAGCAACTCGACTATAACAAACTAACTCTGCTCTTTAAAATGTTCTCAACACCGCTGAAATCATTTTCGGCTTTCTAAACGAAAGGGGGAAATGAAGGTTTGTTTTGAGATTGGATTGTTTGAGTTGCTATGAATATTTATGATTTGAGCCATTTGTGTTTTAGTCAAAGCATGTTGACATTTCTTTCTTTTAGTTGCAAGAAAAACTACTTTCAAAACTTTTTCACTCTCACTATAATATGGAGCAAATACAGCCCCAGAGAAATATGGTGAACTTATAAATATTAGCAAATTTCAGAGCTTGAATTCAAAGATGTAGTGTCACATGCTTAATTGGAGACTATTAGAAATTTGTAGACTGTCAGTTTCATGTATAGCTTGTATACTGCATGTCACTAAAGTCGACATCAAAGCTGTTTACTTGCTTAATACGTTTCTGGTCTTATTGTGAAGGATCTATAAGGATTCAAAGAAAAAAAAGTCTTTATAATCATGTGTCACAATAATAACTTCTAAAACAACTTTCATGTTCTACAAATGTCATCTAAGCAGTGTTGTTGAATAAATCTAAATTTATTAAAAAAATCTTTTTTGCCAAGTGATTGCAAAAATTAGATAAAAACAAACAAAAATGAGAAATGTTGCCTTGCCAACTAACTGAAATTATATAAGTACTAAAATTACTAGAACTAAAACTGAAATAAATAAAAAAAAGTATATAGCTAAACAGAAATGTAAAAAACGAATTAAAATGACAAAGGTGCAAAAAAGTTGCTAAAATCTAAGCTAAAATGAAAATTAAATCTGAAAATATAAAAATAAAAGCTAATTCATAATATTAATAAATACTAAAATAGTATATAAATATTAATAATAACACTGCACCTAAGCTGTGTGGACTGTTGGATAACATTATCAAAATAGCCACATTTCTGTTTAACTATGATTAAAACTTTGAACGAAAAGAAAAGACCATTATTTTAGCAAACTCATATTCAAGTCCAGCTCCATTTTTGGTACTGAACGCCGACTTTTCGTAGCCAATTCCCAAAGAACAAAATAAAGTTCTGCTCTAGGATATTTCACATTATGTTTAAGGACTGCATAGCAAATAAATCTGTTTATATGTATCTCTCGCTTCAGATGATCCAGTCACCCCTCAGACGACCAGTAACAACAGCATGTCCAGCTACTGCAGGAATGAGGATGGTGATATCTTCTTGGCTGCTGAGTCCTGGAAGCCCAACATCTGCTCCAGCTGTGTGTGTCTAGACGGAGCCATCAGCTGCTTCTCTGAGTCCTGCCCACCGGTCAACTGCGCCCGGCCCATGCTCAGGAAGGGCCAGTGTTGCCCATACTGTCTAGGTATGTAAATCTGTGCACAGCTGAAGATCATATTGCCCTAGATCAGACAGCCAAGTTTAGTTGCCTTCTGATCATATGTGGGTGTTAATGACACGACTATGACTGAGATGTTTCTCCCACCTCTTCACCAGATGCCACGCCGAGGGCCGTGTGTCATTTCAACGGGAAGACTTACATGGACGAGGAGCGATGGGACATTGACAGCTGCACTCACTGCTACTGCCTGCAAGGCCAGACCCTCTGCTCGACTGTCAGCTGTCCTGTCTTACCCTGCCATCAGCCGGTCACCGTGGAGGGCAGCTGCTGCCCCATGTGTCCAGGTCAGGATTTATGTGCTGCGGGTTCAGATAGAGATTAGATCAGATGATCAGAGTGGAACAGAATGAGGGACAGTGAATATACGTGGTAAATACATCGTGGATATGCTATACAGAGCCTCCCAAAAGCACTTAGAGCATTCATTAGCATTCAAAAGCACAAGAGTTTCATTACATAGATAAAATATTTACCCAGGTGGCATCACAAACAATGCACAACCTTTCTCAGAACTAATTTTCTTTTGCTAACAAATGTGTTTTAGTGAAATAGTTAGCTTTTTGTGAAATATTTTGCCATTTAAAAATTGTGTTTGTGATGTCTTTCTTTAAAAGAAATCCAAATACTTTTTGGATCTTTATTTGTGTTGGACTGCAATTTTAAGCAGACACTGAACTCCAAATGAGCTATAAAAAAAAATAATAATAATAAAATATAAATATTACATGAAAAACTTAAATGAAAATTAGAATTTTGCCTTGACCACTAATAAAACTAATTTAAAATATTAATAAATACTATAATAGTATCTAAATAACACTGATGTCTTAAAAATAGGAATCTGTCAAATTAGTAATAATAATTAGTATTATTAGTTAAATAATATTATAATTATTATGAGATCATATATGTATAATAATTTTAAATTTTACTATATTTGTAGTAAAATATATAATTATAATTATTAGAAACATGGTTTGTTTGATGTAAAAGTCAAAATGAAATAAAATGGGTTTGTTTTTGTAAAATGTAAAAAGCAAATGAAGCAGAGAAATTACTTTGGCTCTAAAACAATTTTACTTCTCTGCTGACGTAATCAAGGCCACGGGGGTGGGGAAAATAAGCTTAACCAATAAAAGCCCTTTTCACTACCCAGTTAAATCCTGATGGATAAAATCAAACCGTGTCCTACTGTTTCCCATTTAATATTCTATTTAATTCTAATATACAGCACATTTCTGGAGTTAAATTCTGCTTCATTTGCAAACTGGTTTGCATTTTTCCCCACATAAATTAAAGTAGATGGAAACATAGCTATAGCCTACTTCACAGTGACTAGAATAAATGGCAGTATCACTGATCCAAGTACCCTGCAGTTTTGCTCTCTGTAGTTCTGTCACACGTCTCTCTCTCTTTTTCACACTCTCTCTTAATCTCGTTGTCTCTCTCTCTGTCTGGCTCTCATAAAGCAGTGTTTACTTAGAACCTTCTCTCTAATTGAATGGGTCTTTCGTCTAAATACGGACTTGTTGAGATGAATCATTTAAAAGGATTGATTAAGTCGAAGCCGGACAGAGGCTAAATTGGCTCTCTTTGCATTTGGGAGATAATGTCATTGATCATGGCCCTCTTTATTGCTGTGTCACTTGGCTCTGGATCAATGAGGGGGTTGAGAGTGGTGTCGTGTGCACTCTGGGTAATCACTCACCCTTTGGTGCTTTCCCACTCAAAGACACAGCTCTGAAGATGAGCTTTTAATTAGCCTGCGGCCCACAATTTCATGCTGACCTAAATGTTGTTTGTTCTGAGTGAGCACTTCTTAACCCCTTTTAATGTAGTTACGATTTGTATTATATGTTTTGGGGTGTGTTTTTCTGTAACACACTCTTCTTCTCTCTTTCTTTCTTTCTTTGTGTCCCGATGTCTCTGATGTTTTAATTACAGAGAGTTACGCTCCCACAAACGTGCCCATCGAGAACACGGACCAACGAGGAGACAAGCAGAGACATCAACCAGCCTGGCCGACTCACAGCGAAAACGATATTATGCCACAGTTCAGAGGTCTGTACAAGAGTACGAGACGATATATAGACAGCAAGTCTTTGTTGTCTTGTCTTAGCTTGATGCACAAAAAAGATACAGCACAACCAGTGTAGTCTGATTCAGAAGCAAATGACTCTTATGAGCCGATTCTTTATATGAAGTGGTCAAAAAGTCCAATTCATAATGCCGTGTGAATATGTATTGCATGCTTAGCATTGCCACAAGGGGTGCTATAACGAGATTTAGCATAAACTGTCTTCTTCTACAGTCAGTATTCTGGTTCAGGACAACTAAGCTGCATCCGAAATTGCATACGCTCTAGTAGGTACTACAGTTGGTTTGAAACTTACTTCGCAACCATTAAAAACTATGTTTCAAATCGTATGAATATGGGTAGTATGAATGAAATTTAGACATGTGACATACCAGCGTCAGTTGCGTCGCTAAACTGCCATTCACAATTTCTCTCCCATGGTCTCATGGGATAGTAAAGGGTCTATTGAATGCACACTCCAGAATCTCGATGGAAGAAGTAGGTCGTCCGGATGCTCGTTTTTCAACTACTGGTTTTTCGAATACTACGAATTCGGACATACTACTCTTTTCACATACTGTTTTTTTGCTTGCTGTACTGTATGGTATGGAAGTAGGCATATTCAGACACAGCAGTAATCTCCTGGAAGAGCAACATTTTGAAGAGAATTATCTTGAAAAGTTACTTAGCCTAGTTAAGCTGTCTTAAGATAATAACTTGCAAACTGACACATGATGTAGCCCAGCGGTTCCCAATTCCAGTCCTCGCGCAAGGGAAGCAGGGGAAATCCGTTGAAGTTTACTTAGCTTCGGAACGTTCATTCACGGATTTGCGCTGTGCAGCGTCTTCACACACAGACAAAACTTACCGTCTACGAAACGTAGTGTGAAGTGTGACGTAATATACCTCTGTAAATAAATACTATTTAAATTCACGTCTTGCAGAATCATGGCGGAATATCCGGTGATGTACACTTCCCAGGGCACTCACGGTCTAATAGAACAAACGTCGCACGTGATAAGAGATACATATGAAATGTGCAGAGCAGGCGGGCGCGAGGATTGGAATTGGGAACCGCTGATGTAGCCTATTGTAATGTTGTCTCTGGTGTTCTGGTCTGTGAGCGTAAATGCGTTCAGGGGGCGTGGCCTTGGACAGCGATTGCAGGGATGGTGGGACATTCGCTTTCAGTGCTATCAGGCTAAAGTTAGCATTTTTCCAAGATCTCCTACTGCACCTTTAAGGCAATAAGGCAAGAAGTAGGACCCGTGTAAATATCGGATCAGCTTTCCAGCGCTGGAGAGAACTCAAGGAGCGGAAGGCCTCCGATCGGATGCCGAGGTTGCTTTGTTTCTTCTCGATAGGTGAGTAACACCGTGTCTGCGCTGCAACAGCTAAAGTCTGTCTAGTACACAGGACGCGACAAAACGACCATTGAAAATCATTTGAAATTTGTGTCAATACGTCATACATAGAACGCAGCAGCAGTTTTCTGTCGGGGATTTGTCGTGTCGTGCCGCGCATCATCCAGTGTAGACCATAGATATGTATATATCTATGGTGTAGACAGCATCAC